GAGCTGCAGTGTACATTATTTGTTCAAAATGACACACAAATATGAATAGACATACCTGGACTTGGAAGATTTTAGCACCATATTTGGTGTCGTCTGGCACGGCTATCAGGAACTTATTGGCACCAGCTACAAAATCTTTCTCAATCTCAGGATTGGCATCATTGATATCGTCAACGAGAAGTCGTATAACCACAAAGCTAAAGTCTGGACCGTTCAGGGCTGGATATGAAAAAACACCAGAGTACTTAAATGAACAGGTGAAGTTGGAATTTGCTTTACAATGAGATGGGAAAAAACAAACAAGTGCAACATTGAAGTTCCTAATGACTTGGTGCATGAACTACCGAGGGCAGTGTTGCAGTGTCTTTACTTACAACTGGCATTAAGATGTCCAACCAAAATAGTGCAGTGTGTTCTTTTTTTAAAGGTAGCAATTTGCAAACTAAGAGATACAACATAGAAAGAGGATTAAGCCTTGCTTTTATTTGCAAAGCAATTTTATATGTAAATCTGCTTGAAAGCAGTGGTTTACCTTTAGGGGTAATCGGGAGGTGCAACTTAAGATAAATATAATGATGATTGTTGTGTAGAGATGGTTACTAGGGAATAGAATATGGAGATCAATTGTGAATTCAAATGCTTCTCTCATTTACAAGGCAACACTGCAAATGAGATGGGGCATTACAAATTAACATCCGACAGGACTTATTATGCAGTAACTTCAGCCTCAACTGAAGCTAGGAAACAACAGGAAAATTAATTTGTAACTTCATTTTAATACAAAAAATACCTCTTATTGCAGCTTGTCTTTTGACCCCACACTGGTTGCCAGGCTCACAGTTGCTGACGGATGTGTTGCATGAGCTTGCCCTTACTGTGATGGTGTATTCTGTGGAATTCTCGCGATCCAGCATTTGTTTGGTGCAAAGACTTGGAGTCATCAGGTCAGTGAAATTCAGGCAGAATTGGTCAATGGCTTCAGAATGAGAGAAGACCAGAATTATTTGATTGTGGCCAATACCCAGTGTTGTAGTCAAGACCAGGCAGTCCAAGACCAAGACCGAGACCGAGACCAACAGACCAAGACCAGGCCCGAAAAAGTATCCTTAGAGTAAGACCAGTCCCAACGACTACAACACTGCCAATAACAGGAGAAACTACACAAGTATGAAGCAAACAAAAGCTATGTGAATTCCTAATGGTATTGGGTTCAGCAAAGACATTCGTTTTTCCTCTATTAGCATGATATCCTTTCCAGCTGGATGTATGTTAAAAACACTATCTCTCAGCAGAAATGCAGCAATTTCTAGTTTGAAAAACTCCCAACAGATACAGGAACTGTCACTGTCTTTGAATCAGAAATTTATCTCACCAGACGGTGGAACAACTTGGTCGATAGTGTAGAGAACTCTGAGTTCCTTGTTGTTTGGAAGATATGGGGCAGTGAATGGGTTGGAACACGTTTCTGCATTCTCTGGGATGGAAATCCTGTGCATGAAGACAGAAATGGGGTTTTTTTTGACAGAAGTGTAGTACCTTCGACCACCAGAATTGGAAGCCATTACTGCAGTGGCACAACGCTCGTGGACAGGTGGTGCACGCGTGTTTCATGTCTCTTCGGCCAATAGGATATTGCAATTTGCCAAATGCAAATGCGCGTCAAGCTGGAGAACGTGCGTGTGAGTGCGGTGCCACCGCAGTTATGGGGTCTAATCGGATTAGTCTATAATGAGAGCCATGGTGGTGGGAGCGACCTAAACATGTTGGCCACATGTTTCATTGGAGGATGGCTTATGGCATCATCTCAAATAGAGTGAAAATAAAAGAAAATCATGGACTAAAATCTCCATGACGAAAGTGGTAATTCATATAAATATGACAATTGAATCTATGTGTAATAAATCCTTCAGAAACCTGAGACTGCACAGTGTTATAACAGGAAGTACGGCACAAAACATGAGGCAGACTTGTTTCATCTCAAGACAGGTGAATTTGACCCATCCATCAAGGTAAATGGGGGTGGGTTGACTAATGGCCTGACTTGTGACTGACTTCTGATGACTTTTTTGACTTGTGATTGGCACTAATGATGTCTTGACCAGTGATTGGCTTAAGATATGGCTTATAATGATGTCTGATTGGCTTGAGATATGACTTAAATGACTTTAAGAATGGTGTGTGAATGGGTAGTGATTACCTTATGATTTTACGTCATTCAATCTGTGTTTGGATATCCCTGCTTTGACCTCAGGATTCCCCTCAACTAAGCTTCTCCCTACAAGACAGTTTCATTTGAACTTACTCTTGTTGTCTGTGGTCTTCTCTGAAATACGGTTCATCCTTGTAGGTAGGATTCACGATGATGACAACACGAGCTGGTTCAGGGGCGGACCGTGGTGGGGCTCCCTTATCACGAGCATTCACTCGGATCTAAATCCAGAAAAAAGTTAAAAGGATCATGTCACAAACCACTATACTGACAATTCAAAAAAATATCAAAGACAGAACAGAATTCTGGAGGTCGCTGGTTCAAATGCTACTTCCAGTGAGTTCTTGACACAGTTCATAACTTTAAGCCAGATATCAAATGTTAACAGCAGAGTTCCACTTCAGGGGGAACAAATATTGGTGATAAAATGTTCAGAAGTTTTCATGGGAATTAAAAATGTGAAAAATGTTTTTAAATGGTCTTGAATTGTTTAAATACCTAAGGCTTACAATATGCAAACTTTGAAGTCTAATTTATTTCAAGTAAATTTACCACTAAATCAGCTGTCTCTCCAATCACTCCATCAGTCACATTTAATGTACTGATGACACCACTGGTAGGGTCAATAGTGAAAAACTGAAACACACTAGCAGCTTGCTCAGGTGTGTCCAAGGAATACTCAATACCACTGTTGAACTCACTCTAAGATCAAAAATTGGGAGAACAAATCTAGGTTACCAAATATGAGAGGAAAACGTACATCAAAGAAGGACATTTCAAACAGCTCAAAATTTTAGACAACATCTTTCCCATTTTACTAGCAAGGGTATTCCCACTGCATATTTTGTTGATATTAAGCCAATGCTAACTTCAAGCATCATGATTAAGTTATTATGTCTCACCACGTCCTTATCTGTTGCTGTGACATTCACTATTTCAGAAAAGGATGGCAAATAGGGAAACCGCTCAGGAGGCATGTCCACGGGGTCAAAGGTAGGTGAATTATCATTCATATCCCGAATGATGAAAGTAACTTCTACAGAACTCATAAGTTGACGTTCGGCATCTGGGTTGGTTGCATTGATGGTCAGTGTGATCAAGCCTGATGTGTAGTTGGCATTCTCAGCATCAATGCAGCGGATTTTGGTGATGATGCCCAAAGAAGGATCTATGTCAAAATCTACACTGTCACCTGGAAAATTAATTACAGTGTTTATGAAAAACCTCTCGACAAATTTGAATGCAACTCTTAGCTAAGGATTGGGAAAGGTTCCTAGGAAACAAATGACTTTAATTCACTGAGTAAAAACTCAAGCTATACACCTTTTTACCAAAACGTTTGAAACTTTGAAATTTTGGACTCATTTACTCCAAGTTGAATATTCCATATAACAAATGTTTCCATACCAACAATGGAGTACTGAATGATGGAATTGACTGGTGTGGAGTCGTCATCTGTTGCTTTGATGGACCATTTATGCTGGCTGCAAAGGGCATCATTTGTGTCTTCATCAAACTCAAAGGTATAGTCCTCCTGCAAAAAATCAGCCATGGGAATTGAGGATACATATGATTTATTCCTAACTGCTAGAGGGCGCCACTCGACTTGGATTATGTTTATATTAGGTTCAAATACATCATTCACACTGAGAAAAATGCACAATGGCTTGCCCTGCATGCAATGTTGTATTTGAGTCCATCACAAGTCCCTTCAAGTCCATCACAAGTCCCCACAATTCCCGGTAAGTCCATCACAAGTCCCTACAAGCCCCGGTAAGTCCATCACAAGTCCCTACAAGTCCCTGTAAGTCCATCGCAAGTCCCTACAAGTCCTGGTAAGTCCATCACAAGTCATTCAGTCTTAAGCCAATTCACAGGCTATTCAAAAGAAGTGTGTGACATTCCTTTATCATTGTTTACCGTGTTACTAATGACCGGCATTGTGAAGGGACTTGTGAGTGGACTTGTATGTACTCCATGGGGTGATGGCAGTGCAAGTGTTTGATGAAGGCAGACCGTTTTTGTTCCTGCCTTATCGCTGATGCTGGGTTTTTCGTGCAAAAACACACACAGCAATGTCTTTTTTGCCTCCCGTTTTGACACCAACGTAGGCCTATTCCTTGTGGTAGTTGAATGTATACTGTATGATTGCCGAAATGGCAGACATGATAGCCAGAAAAGACTTTCTGGTAATCATGACATCAACGAACTTACGCACCACCAAGGTAAAGGCACGCGGCGACACACGTGCCACAAACACTATCACGGAATGATGTCTTGTTAGTAAAGTTTGAGATCAACAAACAGTGCATAAATAAGTGTCTAGTTACCAGACCACGCAATAAGACTACGGGTTAACAGGTACCCCATCAACAGCAAATCACATATCTTTTTATGGGCGGTATCCAGTGACAATTATTTGGGGGGCTGTCACACGCTATCTTCTTCCTGGTGCAAGCTTCAACTTTGCGTGCGCAAGTTTAACTGCGAGTGCGAAAGCTTTAAACTTTGGCCGCGCAAGTTTTGACCTTGGGTGCACACAATCGAGACCAAGACCACATTCAAACTGGTCTCGAGACCAAGACCAGTCTTGACAACTACAACACCGCCTCCTTACTCCATAATGTAATGCTGATTAACCAAGGTTATGGATAAACATATAGTAATTGGAGCAAAAAGCCAGAGTAGCTGAAAGCACCATTAAAGCAAAACAACAACAACATTTTGAGCAGGAACTCCATAGACCCAATCAACGCATATAAACTCACCTGTGTAAATGTGGGAGCATGGTCATTGATGTCCACAACTTCCACAGTAACCACGGTGATCCTTTCTGGGCTTGTCTCACTAGTGCTTGCAAAGACAATTAGCTGTGGGAAGAAATCGTACGTTTGAAATATCTCTCGTCCCACAAATTCCATCCAATTTCCCCAGTAATTAAGCTCTCATGAATTGTACTTCACTTTTTACTTTCACTTATCACTTTTTGGTCAGTGAAAGCAACCAAACCGTTATCTTTTTAATATCGATTAAAATAAGTAGACTTTAAGCAGAATAGTGTGGATTAAAGCTGATTTTAGCTAATTATAGCTGATTATGACTGATTATAGCTGGTAACAGCTGATTAAAGCTGATTTTAGTTGATAGCTGGTTATAGTTGATTATAGCTGATCATTGTTGATTACAGCTGATAATAGCTGATAATAGCTCATTATAGCTGATTAAAGTTGATTTTAGCTGATTATAGCTGTTTACTGGAACAGAGTTAACTGTTGAATGTTTGATGCAATAAATAGAATAAATGGATAAGATATCATTAAGTTTTCTTCATCACTTGAGGAAAGACTTGGGGATCCTGGAGAGTGTGACTTTTTTGTCTCATTTTGAAGCACTGAGAAACTACGAAAGAAATTTAGAAAAAATCCCCCACCTCAAACATTCTGTCTTCTGTGTCGTAATCGAAGGGCCTTGTGGTGTATATCTGGCCTGTCTCTGAGTTGAGGCTGAAATTTCCTGGTTCTTGCCTCCTGAAGCCATAGATGACTGGTAGCCC